GATCAGGCCTTGCTCTCAAAAGGGGGTTTCAACTTGGCCTCACCTTAGAATCACATAGAAGTCTGTAAAAAACTTGATGATGCCTGGGCCTCGCCCCAGACCAATTCCATCAGAACCCCTGAGCTCGGGGCCCAGGTATAAGCAAAGCTCCTCTGACAGTTCCTCAGTGCTGTTCCAAGCAGTGTCAGGAAGCAGCTGAAGCCCTGAGGGCTGGTTATTGTCTTCCAGGTGAAGGCGGGAGGAGAAGCTGGGGGTGGGAGAATTGCCTCCATTAAACGAGGCAAGAAGCGAGCTGAGGAAGGTTGAAGAGAATTTGGTGATTACCCTGATGGTTCCAGCTCCTTCCCAGCGGCAGGGAGCTGGGGATGATGTGGCCCACGGGTTCAAAATTCACACACACGACACCGTCCACACACACTCACACGCAGACACACACGTTCACACACACATCTGCACACAACACACATGCACAGCATCCCACACACATATACACACACTCACGAATGTGCACACACACATACACACTCACATGTGTAAATCTACCCCATATATACACCTCACACACACACACATATTCCACACATGTATACACACTCTGCACACACACACTCTTACATCCATACTCACATGCATCTTTTTTGTTTCACAAGAAAGAGAAAGATCACATCCTGGGGTGAATGAAACTCCTCCCTTGTCTGGTCCAATTCTCTCATCCTACGTGTGATGAAAAGCAGCTGTGAGGAGGGTCAAGGCGTGTGAGAAGTCCCCCCTTAGTTCTGGTCAACTCTCCTTAGCTCTAGAAAGTATATTAGAAGGATTTTTTTTTAAAGAATTTTTTTTGTGTGTGTGTGGAAAAAAGGTGGCTAGGGGTTCTTCTCCTGGTTGGCAAAGAGAGGAGAAGGGGCACTTTTGTCCTCTCTTCCCAAGCGACTTGTCTCCCAAGCGGGGTGATAATCATTCCAGCTCGATGGGTCGCCATGAGGATTAACCAAGATGCTTCATGTTGAGGGACCAGGGCTGTTTCCGGCACTAAGTGCTCTAGAACAATATCATCTCCCCCACTCACCGACAGAGCAGGGGCTTTGTGACCTCACTTGACAGACATGTCTCATTGGGGGTGACACTCCAACAGCGGGTTGTGGGACAATGAAAAGTCCGATACCCACGTGTACACACACACACACACACACACACACACACACACACACACACACACTCAGTGGTAGATCGTCTGCTGAGCAGTGATTTTGGGTTTCTTCCCAGCAGTTTTTCCTTCCTGCCCTGCCCTTTGTAGGGGGTGCTGGGCTCTGTGCTCGTTGCCCTGGAGGAGATTCAGGATGCCAGGGCGAAAACCTGAGGGCAGGCCCTCTTCCCCTGTAGCTGAGATTGTGCTACTTGTCCTGCAGAAGGTAGGGGAGGACAGGGCTGCCTAGAGGAGAGAATGGGGGCAGAGCTGTACTCAAGCCTGGGGCCAGACAGAGCCTCTTGGGTTGGGGAACTGCAGGGTCCTCAGCCTATTCACTCTTGGGCCCCCTGGAGTTGGCTGGGTCTCCTGGGGCAGTGGCCTTGGGCACACACCTCAGTGGGCCGGATCCTAGCCTTGAGGTTGTTAGCCCCAACAGGACTGCAGTGCCTAGGTGCCGGGACCACAGGGTTGGACGCAGGCACATCCGCATGTGCCCACAGTGAGCAGCGGGGAGGGGTGGCCTCAGCATCCTGCCAACGCTCTGGCCTTGAGGGTGGGGTAAGGAGCCTCTACAATGCCCAAGTCCAGTGTGATGGATTTATATCAATAAGAGACTGTCTTACAGAGTGATGAAAGTCAGAAAGAAAAACAGATACCGTATATTAACGCATATCTATGGAACCTAGAAAAATGGTACAGATGAACCAGTTTGCAGGGCAGAAATAGAGACACAGATGTAGAGCACAAACGTACGGACACCAAGGGGGCAAAGTGGCAGGGGGTGGTGGTGGGATGAATTGGGAGATTGGGATTGATATATATACACTAATATGTATAAAATAGATAACTAATAAGAACCTGCTGTATAAAAAAAATAAAATTAAATTCAAAAATAAAATAAGCATAATGTTGCCTGCACAACCAAGTTTGTGCAATAAGACTCGAAGTAGCACATGTAAACACACATCTGTGTATATGTGCGGCAACTCTTTTAGTTTATGGGATTTGGTGGGGGGAGGTTACGGTTGGTGAAACCAGTTTCCAAATGTTCCCCCTTTTTGGTGACAAGCACAATTTGTGGCAGGTGTGCCAACAGAACCACACTAATACTTACACACTGAGTTAAGATTTCTGTTACTCTCCGTCTTTGAACCGAACAACCTTGATCTCCCAATTATACAAAATTAATTTCAATGAATTAAGCATGTGACAGCATTCTACCTTAGAATATCCGTTACCCAGGCAGTGGAGAAGAAAGAAGTACAGAAGTGTTTTCTAGAAAAGCAGATAGTAGTGACTCTTAGGGCCAAGGGAGAAGGTTGTGACTGGGAAGGGGTGTGGGGTGTGAGGTTTCTGGGAAAGCAAGGTTCTATCTTGAGTCCTGGGAGGTACTTAAAAGGTGTTGCCTTATAAGTCATCAAGGAGACATATACCTACTGCCTCCTGGTGGTCCTTCTGCCACCCTGCACATTCTCCAAAGTGGGACGTGACCCAGGTGAAGCTTTGTTCTTTCTCCCAAGTCCTTAGTATCTCCCAACAGAACCTGAAGTCAAGAAGGGGAAAGCCACAAGGCATAGCATCAGGGGAAGGAGTGAAGGGAAGGGTTCTCTGAGTTCCTCTGGCCGCCCATGGTGCAATGCTTTGCTTGAGTCCAGACCCCACCCACTTTACTGCCTGGCAGGCTACTTCTTGGTCCTGCCCGGATGCAGGCTTGGCCTCTCCCTGGGCCAGTGAGGGTGGATGCTTGTGGTCTTTGTTGGCTTCCTTTCTGTCAGGCTGGACAAGATGTCCCAAGCTCATCTTGCACATTTCCTTCCCCAGACCTACAAGCAAAGGACCCCTGATTCCTTCTGTAGGAAATAATATTGAGAGACCATAATCTGGAGGGTAGAGTATACATTGCTACTGAGTTTGTTTGTTTGTTTTGGTTTCTGACACGATAAACAGTGAGGTTCATTAGTTTCCATTTTCTTGCATATTTTAGAGATCATTGTGTTTTAGTTTTCTTTTTTTACTCTTGTTTTTTTTAAAAAATGTGAAATGTTTACATTTTCTAGTCAAAACTATGAAACAAGATACATTCAGAAAAGATTTCTCACTTTTTTTCCTCCCTCCTGTTCTATCCCTTCCCCTATAGGCAAGCATTTTTAATTAGTGTTAGGTTTATTCTTCTGTTGTTTATATTTGAAAATGCAAGCAAGTATGTATATCCTTCATCATTTATACACACACATATATTTACACAAAGGTAACATTATACATTTTCTTCTACACTTCTGAGCATGTTTCTCATATCCATACATAACTGAAGATTGGATGAGAGAGAAGCAAAGAATTGTGTCTTGGAATTGACTTCATTGTATTATATAATGTTTTCACATCGCTCCAGGCCACAGGGGCCTGTGGGAGAGGAGGCAGAAAGGGGTGTCTGAACGGGGGGGGCTCTAGGACCACCATTACCACTTCAACCAAGCAGCCACACTTCTACATATTTAGCATCCATATCAAATTTGGTCTGAAAATGGTTCCTGCCACCAGAAGAAAAATTCTAAGAGAAAATGGCCACAGTTATCAACCCAGACCCACTGATTCTAGCCTCTGAGAAAGTTGCTTGGAGAGCACAGGCTTCATGTTAACTTTACTATGCTAGGTTAGTCTTACTGTCTGGCATTGCCTAAACTTGAGTCCCAAGAAAACTTTGTGGCAAGAAAATCTTCATCCATTCAACAGTAGAGAAAAGGACCCAATAAATCAGTTTGTCCACATCTTCATTTGAGGGAACCCATTATTCACATTTATGAAAGATCTTTAAGGAGACAAGAAAATACAAAGGAAATTAAAGAGGCTGCTAGAGTTTGAAGTAAACTGTCATTTTGCCTTGAGTATATAAAACTAAAGTCCTTTGTAGATGGGGTATTGAATTAGCTCAAGAATTGGCAGCCCCAGTGAAAGACAGGTATGCAGGCTGACTTTCTTTCACTGTTCGCCATACCTTTTCTGCCACCTGGAAAAACCACTCTTGATTGTGAAAGTGGACAGGCAGCAGGCACAAAGTCCATGTGTACACAGACATAAACCATGTATGTGTCTAGGCCCCACCGGACACATCATGACTGGTACCCTTGGGGCCTGGCACAATGCCTGGTGTATAGTAGGTTCTCAGAATGGTTGAATGAACAAATATATTACACTTCATCCTCATGACCTAAATGGAAATGAGTGAGGAACTTGGCTCATCACTGTTAAAAGGTTGCTTTAGGGGCTGAATTGTGTCTCCCCCAAATCTCATGTTGAAGCCCTGACCCCCAGGACCTCAGAATGTGACTATATTTGGAGATGGGGTCTCTAAAGAGGTGATTAAGGTAAAATGAGGTCATATGGGTGGGCCTTAATCCCACAGGACTGGTGTCCTTATAAGGAGAGGTTAGGACAGAGACACGTGGGCACACAGAGGAAAGGTCAAATAAGGACATAGGGGGAAGGTGGCCATCTGCAAGCCAAGGAGAAAGGTCTCAGGTGAAACCAGACCTGCTGACACCTTGATCTTGGGCTTCTAGCCTCCAGAACTGTGAAAAAATAAATTTCTACTCTTTTGTTACGGCAGCCTTAGCAAACTAATACAATTGCCAATCTCTCTCCAGACCTACTACAGATGCAATGTCAAAGTAACATCTTGGATGGCTTGCCATTCCCATTCCCACGTCATACAAGCCAGAAAGGAATTGTTCTGAGTGTGTGTTTCATGATGCTTTGAAATCTCAAGTGTATCTATGGGACCAGCTCAGCTGTAAGAAAGCCCTTTATGAGGTCATCATCCCACTCTTGCCAGATCACTGCAGATGGAGACACTCAAGCTTTGAAAAACACTTGAAGAGCTACCATGCCTCACTTTGCGAAACCTCTTTTAAGAAACATTATTATCAGAAATCTATTCAACAGCATGAAGAGGAAGCAATGTCTCCAGTATTTGAAAACCCTGAGAACACTGCAATATGATGGGTTTACAACTGTATATTTGGGGGAAACTTATATCCCTGAGAGTCTTGTAACAGGGGAAGATTTTAGTGATGGCTATTCCATGCCAACTCCAACTTGGTGTATTGTGCATGCTGGTGGTAGTCAAGGATGGATGCCTTGGAAATATCGGATGTTCCTAAGGGATGAGTTATGCATCAAACAAGAAGACAGCCTCTTCTCTGAGTTCTGTGATGTGGCAAAGAAGACCTACGGGAAGTGCACCATTGTGGTCAAAGACAGAAGGCAGCAGGATGAGATGAAGCCAAAGGAAGACATAGAATCCGAGGCCCAGGTCCATGTCCCATCAGTCCTTAACTTAACGAACATCACATGTTGTCCACAGGTGGCCAAGTCCTATGGCCATGAACTACTCTCTCTGCCTTCCGCTTACAGTTATCTGAACCCTCTAGACTCAGCCTGGTCTTCTCTGAAATGGTTTATCATCAATTACAGAAAGGAGTTTTGTTTGCAGTCCACTGATGGTGTCTATTCTTACAAGTATATACTCTTCAGTGATTTAATTAGCAAAGGGATTGAAAGGATGAACCCAAGCAAATGGAGAACACTAACTAACAAAGTACAAAGATGGGAAAACTACTATCTTGGTAAATTTTCTGAAGTGCGATTCCTCTAACAGCAGGGCCGTGCTGTGGGCATGATCTTTACCAATTCTGTTGGGTTTGATTCTGGACCACTGCAGCCAAAGATACTCCAACAATGACCTCACAGAGATGCTGTGAGGACTGCTTCCTAAGGGCATTGGCAAAGTGCTTATGGTTTGCTGAAGGTTTCATTAAATCTTGTTGGTAAATTAGTGATCTTGACTTTCATCTGGTTAAGGCCACTCTGAGGGCTATTATGTCAGTGAGAGGATGAGAGTTAACCGAGCCCAAAGGAGCTGGGAAGTGAGAGAGATGAACAGAGCTAAAGGTTGTGTGAGGAAAAAAAGAGAACCAAGAGTGTGCTCACAAAAAATTGAAATTAACTAGTGTGCCTACCGGTTTCAGTCCACCAAAATAATCCACAGGGAGCCGGCTTGCCATCAACAGATGTGGTCCAGATGGTGGCTGAACAGGCTCTTTCCCTTCCATTGCTTGAAAGCAAGGAGGCAGAGGGTGAGCAAGAGACATCCAAGGAAGTTAAACCCCAACCAGATCCTCCAGGCAAGTTGGTGGTCCCCATAAGGAACCTGGAAAGCTATGACAGTGATTGGTTCAAGTTGGACTTGGTGGGTGAACAGGTGACGTAAACAGGAGGGTCTACAGAACCCACTTATCCAATCCGTCTCCCATTCCAATTCCAAGAATCCCAACGGGAGGTCACTAGCCTGTCATGCAGTTGCACCTCGGGGCCCTGGTTGCTGAGCCACCTGTGGCTAACGGCACCCTAAAGTCTGGGGCTGCTGCTAATGGTGGCTGTAAGGGTTTGTGGTGGTATTTTTCACTTTTATAAAAAAAAAATCCCTGCCTCCTATTAAACATATCATAAAATTCACTCTTGTTTATGTATGCTCAGGCAGTAATTTTATAGCAGAAGTAATTATTCTGGGGTATGTCAAAAACAATGTCTGAAAATTGCTACCAACTCCCAACAGACCTGCCTATATATCAGATGGTGAGGCCAGGTTCCCGCTAGCCAAGCACAGAAAAATCAGATTCTTTGCTTGTCTTCTGCCCTAATTCCTTCCTGAAACTCCCTGGATTATTTAGAAACACTTTGTCAGAAAACAGATGTTCAGTGCTTTTCAGCAACTAAGCGGTGGACTTCTGCAGCATCCTGTTTTTATGCATTTTATCTGCAGATGAATCACACTTACCACCTCCAACCACTGGGAACCAGACACTCTCAGCTGCACCTCCCACTTTACAGCCGACCGTGCAGTATGAGTTTCTTGCGGCTGCTGTGACAACTACCACACACTTGGTGCACTAAACCAACAAAAACGTATCCTCTCCCAGTCCTGGAGGCCTGAAGTCTGAAATCAGTTCCGCTGAGCCAAAATCAAGGTGTCAGCAGGGCCACGCTCCCTCCACAGGCTCTAAGGGAGAATCCATTCCCGGCCTCTTGTGGCTTCTGGGTGGCTGCCCGCCTTCCTTGGCTTGTGGCCACATCACTCCAATTTCTGCTTCTGTGGCCACATTACTTTCTCCTCTTCTGTGTCCAATCTCCCTCTGCCTCCCTCTTATAAGGACACGTGTGACTGCATTTAGGTCCCATCCAGATAATCCAGAATCGTCTCACCATCTCAAAATCCTTAATTTAATCACACATGCAAAGATTCTTTTTCCATATAGGGTAACATCCACAGGTTCCAGAGATTCAGACCTGGATACATTTAGGGACCATTATTCAGCTGAGCACAGGTTCTAAAGAAGGTTTTCTTCTGCCAGCTGAAATACTGCATTTCCCACTGAAATACTTCACTTCCCAGCGCATTTCCCAGGGGTAACACAGTTACCCCTGGTGAAACGGCTCTCCCTGTGTGGCACTTTTATTTTTAAACCTTTTATTTATTTTATTAAAATATTTTTTTTATTTTTTGGCCATGCTTCGCGGCATGAGGGACCTTAGTTCCCCAACCAGGGATCGAACCTGCACCCCCTGCCATGAAAGCGGGGAGTCTTAACCACTGGACCGCCAGGGAAGTCCACTGCATGGTACTTTTGTGTGGTTTTTTTCGCTACCTGTTTCATGTATGTTTCAGAATTTATGTTCCTTAAGGGTAAGTAACAGGACTCAGACCTCCTTGGTGACTTCAGGGTCGGTGGCCTGCGTTTGGGATGTGAGTGCGTTTTGCCCCTACGTTGCACTTATCTCACACCTGTCCAGAGTTCTGTAGTGACAACCACTAACAGCTATACACGCTTAACTCACTTAATCCTCACAACAGTCTGCGATGTAGGAACTACCATTGTCTCCATTTCTCAGAAGGGTAAACTGAGGCACAGAGAGATATGCAACTTGCTCCAGTGCGGAAGAGCTGAGGTTCAAATCCAGAGTTCCCAGGTAGAACTGTTATTCACACAGCCTCTCTACTAACGAGCAGCTCAGTTCACCCTCAAAACAACCTCTCAGGTAGGTCCTATCACTTTCCCATTTTACAGATGAGGAGACTGCGACACTCAGGCCAGTCAGAGCCTAAGCCCGTGTGCCCAGCCGCCATGCTTGGCTTGGTTACTGAAACACGGTGTAAGGCTTGCCTCTGACATCAGACAATCAGCTGGCAAAGTGGCTGCCTCCAACTGGACACAACAAAACATACTTCAGCACAATATTGAGCTAGAGGCAGGTACTTTTTAAAGACACACTATTTTGCAGTGAGAAAAAAAATGGGAGGTTTTTGGGTTACCAGATGAACAAGATAGACCAACAGGAGCTATTTTTCTGGGAAAACCGAGACGATCTAATAAAACGAGTTTAGGATTGTATTCCTTCGAGGCCTTGTTCAATCATTAGAAAGCAAGTAGGGAAAAAGAGAACATCGGTATAACCAGAGATCAAAGGGCCACGGGTAATGTACAATTGAGTTACATAATATTGTACTCATAATTAAGAAATTCTGCTTTATGCCAAGCATGGAAACTTCCAGGAGAACACAGTGGAAAGTACACGGGCTTCTGGGAATCGGATGGATCTCGTTAGAATCGCAAGTTTCCAGCCTGTTAACTATGAGACTTTGGACAAGTTACTTCCCTGAGGCTCAACGAACTCATTCGTAAACTAGAGTTGAGGGCTTAAACACTTAGCACACACCAAGCCACTACATCATGACCAGCCCCAACTCAGTGCTCAATAAACTGGAGCTCCTGTTACTGCAGTGCAGGCTGGGCTTCCAGCAAGCGCATGCACAGTTAGAGCTGCTTCTCATTTCCTTTTCACTCTTTGTGGCAAATTCTTGCTTTTTATCACTGGGTTGTAATCAGAGTAGACACATCTGAAGATGTGTCTTTTGATCAAAGGAAATTCTTTTCTCTGGCATTTCTTTTAAGACCGTCTGCGATAGGTTAGGGAATTAAGGATAAGAGGTCTCTTCTGGTGGTGTGGACAGCGAGGATGGAGAGTACAGCCTGGAACCTTTTGGGAGCAGCACTTGTATGAAATAAACAGTAGGTGAGGGCTTCCCTCATGGCGCAGTGGTTGAGAGTCCACCTGCCGATGCAGGGGACGCGGGTTCGTGCCCCGGTCCGGGAGGATCCCACGTGCTGCGGAGCGGCTGGGCCCGTGAGCTGTGGCCGCTGAGCCTGCGCATCCGGAGCCTGTGCTCCGCAGCGTGAGAGGCCACAACGGTGAGAGGCCCGCGTACCGCAAAAAAGAAAAAAAAAAAAAAAAAACAGTGGGTGATAAGGCCCAGCAGCCCTGCAGGTGTGGACACATCTTCTGGAAGACCCTTCGTGATGTTGGTGGCGCTGACTCCTTCGGAGAGGTTGGCTGAGGGCACATCTCATCCACTTTGGTCCTCATCAGGACCAACAACCACACGCCCACTCCCTTCCTGTGGGCCAGGCTCCCCCTGAGGAGGTGGCGCGTTGGAAAATGTGCTGCCCTGGAAAAAGCCCAGAGGGAAATAGGTTAATGGAGCTGAATGCCCACTGGCTCAGGCCTTGACCACTCAAGGAAGGTCCAGGCTCAACTGAGTTGATCGAGCTGCACCTGGCCAATCAGGGGACCGAGTTGCCCCCCATCCCCGCAGGTGGTACACACTCCTTCCATTTGTGATTGTTTTACATGTACAGAACATTTTTATATACTCGACCTCATTCAGTTTAGACAACCACCCTGTACATAGGCAGGGCAGTGATCGTTAAGCTTGTTTTACAAATGAAGACAAAGTGGTAACTGACTCACCTGGAGGGATGCCCACCTGTAGTGGCGGGAGGGTCAGGACTAGAATCCACGTCTTCCTATCAGGAAGTCCTCACAGCCCTCTCTAGCTGGTTCTATGGGTCAGTTAGGATTAGGTCAGGCTATGAGTAGTGGAGACCTAACCACAGAGATTTAAACAAAATAGAAGGTACCGTCCCATCCCCCACCAAAACAAAAAATACTAAGGTGGCAGTTCAGGGCTAATATGATGGATCCACGATCATAAAGAACTCAGGGTCTTATCTTTTTCCTCTACTGTCCTAGACTTGGTTCCATCCTCAACGTCACCTCATAGTGCAAAATGGCTGCTGAAAAAGCCATTGCATTAGCATTCCAGGTAGCAGAGAAGGAGAAAAGGAGGAAGAAGGGCTCATCCCTTTTCTTTTAAGGGACTTTCCAGGAAGTCTCACACTTAAACCTTCCACTTAAATCTCATTGGCTAGACTTAGTTGCAAAGGAAGCTGGGAAAAGTAGTCTTTATTCTGGGTGGTGATGTGGCCAGCTGAAAATCCCTGCTCCCCTTCCTTTGGGTGTTACCACTCATCCACTCACCAAATATTCGAGCACCTTCTATGTGCCTGTAACGTGTGGCCCGGACAGGGGCCCAAAGAAAGTAAGCTCAGACCCTGGAGGCAGTCAGGTTGGTGGTGTGGAGTACCTCTCGGTCAGTGAGATTTTGGAGGTGTGGGGAGTGAGGGCTCAGAGTCGAGGGCCTGGCTGGGGAGTCAGGGGCAGAGCAGCAGGAAGAGGTGAAACTGGAGCCGAGGCCAGAGGAAGAGCAGTGACTTCATCACAGTGGGTAGAAGAAGAGGTCAAGTGTGCCCAGCTTACCCACTTCCCAGGGCACGGGGTATGTGAGTGCGCACGCGCACGCGTGCGTGCAAGTGTGCGTGTGGTGGGCAGGGAGCAGTGTGAGTGGAATGAAAGGAAGAATGCAAGTGTGGAAGGGACAGGATGGAAAAAGAAAACAACGTGTTGTATGAGAAGGAGTTTGGGCTATTCTAGAAGGAAAGGAAAGACCCTGAAGGGTGTGGTGCAGGACGATGGGTTAGGGTGGGGAAGCATAAGTTTTCCCACCAAGGAGTCCAGCTCCTGGTTCAAAACCCATGTGTGGTTTTCCAGGCTTGACCGCAGGCAGTTACAAAGGTGTCACCCAGCAGGGCTCATGGGGGCAAAAGCCACCCTCCCCACAGCAGACTTGGTGACAGCCAGGGCCCTGCCGTCTCTGAAGGGAGCTGTAGTCCACGGCTCAGGCCCCTGACCTGGAGGGAGAGGGGAGAGGGGACTGCAGGCCCCAGGTCCTTGGGCTCTGCCCACTGCACCCAGCATCCCTCCCACGCTCAGAGTAGAAGGACTTGCCTCAAGCTAAAGGGGAAACCGAGGCCTTTACCCAGCACAGCTTCCCTGGGTATCCCCTCGCCCTGCATGTACCGGGGCCTTCAGTGCCCGGCCCCCAGATGCCATCCACCTCCAGCCCGGCCAGGTTCCCTTCCCTTTTCCTGTCGCATCTCCTTCAGCCTGTGATCATGCTCAAGCTTACTCCTTCTGGAAAAACCTTTCCCTCAACCCTGCCTTCCCCTAAGGCTACCAATGTCTCTGTCCCCACCTCTGAGGTGCACAGCAGGCGGCAAAGTTGGGAGAACTTCTTTTACAATTTTTAAACAATCAGCTCGCCGAGAAGTCCCTCCAAGTTTAATTCAATGGGGCTAATTGTGAATCTTTGAAAAGTACAATCAGTACATTAGAGAGTGTCCAAAACATCTGGAAACTCAAGGGAAATACTGAGCCAATTATTTGAAAATTAACCAGTTATTTGTAATCAACATATTGCTCAGACAAAGATTTGTTTCCTGACTTCGCAGACCACACACACACACTTGAAATTAGGATGCAAACGGCACTGTTTCTATTTCCTCATACCCTCCCCACTTCCCACAGCCTGGCCTCTGTCCTCATCGTGTCGTCTTGAAGACTTGATGACCCACGATTTGGAAGAACAAGAACGCCTGCCCACCTGCCCTGTCCTTGCACGGGAGTGAAAAGTACAGGTCCAGAGCTGAACTGCGAGGTCCACATCCTGTCTCTGCCTCTTGCCAGCTGGGGAAACTTAGACAGAGAGGTTAACCTCTCTGTGCCTCGGCTTCCTTATTGTGAGACGGGGACGGTGACACATGTTGGGGGTAACAGATGTAAAGCAGGAGGAATAGTTAAGGGCTAAACAAGGATTCGCAGCTACGTTCTCTCCCCTGCTCCCCAGCCTACTGGCTCCAGATGTTCCTTCCCAGCCCGGCTTCTGGCTCATCTCCCTCTGCCCATCGTTTAAGGCTCCAAAGGAGATTCAAGGACCACCTCATCGGCATCCCCTTGGGGTTTTCAAATTTGTTCACAGATTCCTGGTCTCTCCCGCATGGCTGATGCCGTGGGTCTGGGGCCCAGCCCAGGAATCTGCACTTTAAACAGCCTCTCGTGTGCGCTCACGTTTAAGAACCCAGCCTCAATCCTCTTTTCCCTCCAGACTCTCCATCACCCCTGGCTTCCCTCCAACAAGGACGAGACCTGTGGCATCTCAGCACAGCCGGGGATCGCAAGTCGGCAGTACTGCGCATGCGCAGGCCCGGCCCCTGCAGGAGGCTGGGAAGGTCGCATCCAGGCAGGTGTGCTTCCCTGAGATGAGAATTTGGTGACAGACTGGCAAGAGATGACCTTTTTTCAAACGCCCCAGATTTTTTGTTTGAAATATTCAGTTCCTGAAATATATTATGTACGTCTCTGCCTCGTTAAGCAAAGTATATAAAGACAGTTTCACCTTTCCTTAATGTCATGATGGGTGTCGTTCCTGGTGTGGGCTTGGCGATCGTACAGACGAGTTCTCAGGCCTGGTCTGCTGCTCAAAGACCGTCTCTCTTGCTCTGAGGCATTTCTGCCGCCAACAGCCTTTCTTCATATCTGATTCTAGTATGTTGTAAGCTCAAAAGCCAAAAACGTGTTAGGAGCCCATCTAACAAGACGACATATGATCTGTGTGAGGCATCCTGGGGCTCTCTTGTGCATGGAGGACGTAGATTCCAGTTTACGTTCTTTGAAACATCTTTCAGCTGCCCAGGGACGGTGGTCTTATGGAATCGTTCTCAGTTATGGTCCCGAGAGAGGCTGGGTAGGTGCAGTAAGACGTGTGGGCTTTACCAATCACTCCATCCACCGTGTTCATGCATCCAACCACTTATTTAAAGTCAAGCTACAAATCTACTGACTTCATGTACACAGGGTTGGAAAAGTATCAATAACTCCAAATACAGTAAGTCCCCTACATACAAACCTCCAAGTTTCAAACTTTCAAAGATGCAAACGTGCATCTGGTTCCAGCAAGGAACCAGAACCTGAGCCATCAGCGTCGGGCGTGAGTGACATTGCAGCTTGCCCTCCATCTCCTGTTGCTGACGACCGTTCAGCTCTACCGTCTCCCACCTCCTCTCCCTCCTCCAGTCGTAACTCTTCTTGACTGTTCACTCGATGCCAGCCCCTGTATGCCAGCTGTTGTACTGTACTACTGTACTCTTCAAGGTACTGTACTGTAAGATTAAAAATGTTTTCATGTTTGTTTTTTATGTATTATTTAAGCGAAAAGTATTATAAACCTATTACAGTACAGTACTATAGAGCCGATTGTGTTAGTTGGGTACCTAGGCTAACTTTGTTGGACGTACACACAAAATTGAACTTCCGAACGCACTCTCAGAACAGAACTCGATCGTATGTAGGGGACTTACTATAGTGATTATCTCCCCCTAGTGGAAGAAGAGAGTATCAGAAAGGTTAACTTAAACCCCAAAACACTGTTTACAGAAAACCTGTGGGTGTGGTCAATGGTTTATTCCTATCCTTAGATGATCTGCTACCGAATTTTCCAAGAAGACGGCCAGATGTTCCACCAGTTCCAAAACTGAGTTCTAAATCCCAAAGCCTAGAAACACACCTGTGTTTAAAATAAACCTGAACCTCTACTAGATGGGCATAGGGTCTCCGTGAAAAGCCAAGGCCACTCTTCATCCCCTGCCCTGGGATTTACGAGGCATATAGGTGTAAGTACGTATGAGGAAAGGGTGCCCAGAGGTAGTGGGTGTGATGCCAGGTGTGCTGGGAGCCCATGATGCCCTCATCCTGCAGAGAGGTGAGGAAGCAGAGGCCGAGGCCCTAGCGCAGGAGCCTAGAGCAGGGTGGGGGGGTCACCTGCTAGGCGGCAGAGTCCGCCCTGACAAAGGCAGGAGGCTAGGCCATGGCCCAGGGTCAGTTCTGGACCTACCTGAGCAGGTCAGAGAAGCGAGGGTGCCAGGCTGCATCTCACCTCTGCTCTGGTCATCTGCTCCTGCCGCACGGGATCCAGGCCACCTCGAGGCTCCTAGGCAAAGGCCAGAGCAGCATCCTGCAGGGAGGCTGAGATGCGAGCATGAGGGCAAGTCCCCTTCTATTTTGGGATTTGTAGCTTGTAGAGTCAGAGTCTCCTGTATTTAAAACTTTGATTCTGTGTAAATTCTGTTTTCTAAATTGTGATTAGGAGCGGCCAGCAATCACAGTAAAACTTAAGAAAAATATAATTCCCTTTATTCCTCATGCTTAAAATTCCAAGTTCTGCCAACCTGGGCCAGGATGGCGTGGGGCAGGGGGGAGGTAGGGGGAGTACCTACTAACATGCCCTCGCGCAGATTTTCCACGTGGCTGCCTGCAACGAGACCAAACATTCCACCATATTTGTGGCTTTGGTTACTGTTGCCTCATTCCCCATCCTCTGTGGTATCTGGAGAGAAGTGAAAAAACAGGAACCTTTTAATAGAGACCTCAGTCGGTTAGGGGCTGAGTCAAAAGACTTATGGACCCCACTCCTCTCAACTATTATAGTCTGCTGAGCACGTCCCGCCCTTCATCTCATATCAGCAAATCGGAACAAGCAGACTGGTGGGGAGAAGACAAAGCACACCTGGGATCCTCTTTCCTCCTCACAAACAGGCAATTCCTCCTAGACTTGGTACCCACCGGGGCACGAGGGTCTCATCCCGCACCCCTCCCTGCAAGGACCTCACGGGTCAGCAGAGGCACGATGCTCCTGGAGCAGCGAACAGCCCCTCCCCCCAACAATGAAAACACAAGAAAGAGCCGAAGTGCTCGGAGGAGAGAAAGAGGAGGAAAGGAGCATAGGCACTAGGGCAGCAGGTTAGAGGGCTGGAGGGGTGGGTGAGGGACAGCAGGCTGATGGGACAGCTACGGCCCCGTCGTCTGTGGAGGTGCACCTGTGATCTGGTACCCACAGCTAGAAATGCAAAAGTCCCTCCTCTCACTACACAGAGATGTGTTTGTGTGAGGGAGAGGGGGAGGGGGAGGGGGAGGGGGAGAGGGAGACGGGGAGGGGAGGGGGAGGGGGAGGGGAGGGGAGGGGGAGGGGAGGGAGGGGGAGAGAGAGAGTGG